AAATCTGCCCGCGAGTCTCGGGCAGCTGCAGCAGCTGCGGATCCTCTCTGTGATCAGCTGCTGCGACATTTCCTCCCTCCCTGACTCCCTCGCGCATCTGCCGTCCCTCGCGGACCTCATACTGCTCGACCTGACACTCGATCGCCTGCCTCAAGGCGTGGGTCGATTGCCACACCTGCGCACGCTCCACCTGAACATCGGTGTTCTCGTCCACCTGCCTCCCTCCGTATACCTTGCCACAGCTCTCAAACACCTCTCGCTTGAGAACTCCTCCGCCGCACAATCTCTGCCCGAGGATCTCGGGCAGATGACTGCCTTAGAGACCCTGAGCGTGATTAAGCTTTCGCAGCTCACCAGCCTGCCCGCGTCGCTTGGCGACCTGACGAGCCTCAAGGAGCTGAAGATTTCTGAATGTACTGCGCTGGCATGGCTTCCAGACTCCCTCACTCGGCTGTCTTCCCTTGAGCTGCTGGACATTAGTTACTGCCGCAACCTCACGGAGCTACCGCAGGGCATGGGCGATGGTCTGCATAGCCTGCGCGGACTGAAACTGGACGAGTGCACGGCTCTCACCTACCTACCTCCGTCGTTCTCCAGCCTCTCCTCCCTCGAAACCCTAAAAATTCGTCGTGCAGGCAGCTTACGCGGCGCCCTGCCAGGCGGTTTGGCTTGCTCCAGAAGCCTCAAGAAGCTCTCTCTCTCCTCCCTGCCGCACCTGCCCGCCCTGCCTGCCTCCGCCCCTGCCATCGCCCACACCCTCACCAGCCCCGTGCTGCTCAGTTTCGAGCAAATCACGGCGCTTCCAGAGAAAATCGGACGGCTGGGAGCGCTCGAGAAGCTCAAGCTTTCAGAACTACCCGATCTGAAGTCGCTCCCTCGCTCGCTGTGTCAGCTGCAGCGGCTGAAATTTCTGCAAGTGAGTTCCTGCACCGCGCTGCAGTCGCTGTTTGGGGATGAAGGCACAGGGGCCGCTGACCATGACCTTGAGGGGAGAAGCACCCTCCTCAGCTTGGGGGGAGAAGCACACTATAGTGTCAGCTGCGGGGTATCCAATGAGAGGGGCGAATCTGTGTTCTTTCCGTCCCTTGAGGTCCTTAAGCTTGCGGCTCTCCCATTCCAGCAGCTCAGCCCATGTATAGGCTCTCTCTCGTCGCTAACCAGGCTGGAAATTTTGGAAATGCATCAGCTCTGCTCGCTCCCAGATTCCATCTCTCGCCTCTCTCGCTTGCAGTCACTCACGGTCAGCCATGCCAAAAGCCTGCTGGCTCTGCCGGAAACACTAGGCAGGCTGTCAGCGCTCACAACCCTCCAACTCGACAATCTCCTGAGCTTGATTGAGCTGCCCGAGTCGCTCGGGCAGCTGAACATGCTTCAGTACCTGGAAATATACCGCAGCCCAGGCGTTACCAAGCTTCCTGATTCCCTCTCCGGTCTGTGCAGACTGGAGCTGTGCTGTATCTCCAAAATCGGAATCTCGTGCCTTCCAAACGACTTTTGCAAGCTCTCCTCTCTGGAGGACTTGTACCTGCACTTGTGCGAGCAACTTGCTCGGTTGCCCACGGGTCTGCGGCAGATGGCGAAGCTGCAGGCATGCACTGTCACTGAGTGCCCGCTGCTGTCGGCAGGACAGAGGGTGGTGATCTGTGGTTCAGCGAACCTGGACGAGGGGGAGCATGTGGTGGGTGGTGTAGGGCAAGAGGATGTGGGGATAGAGGAGATAGGGGAGGAAGATGGGGGGAGTGAAGGGGAGGAGGGAGAAGGAAGCCAAGCGGAGGGGAGTGAAGGGCAGGGGAGTGAAGGGCAGGGGAGTGAAGGGCAGGGGAGTGAAGGGCAGGGGAGTGAAGGGCAGGGGAGTGAAGAAGGGGGGGAGGACGTTGAGTGAATGGAGATTAGGAGAAGGATGAAGGAAAGAATTTGAAGATGAGAAGGGGATGGCAAGGAGATGCAAGAAAAATCGTGAAACAGGTGAGCTGGTTCGGGGATGGGGGGGTTGGTTAGAGAGGGAAGAGTTTGATTGTATGCAGTCCTTGGTTAGAGAGGGCCCAGGCCTTACCAAGCTTCCCGATTCCCTCCCCTGTTTGTGCCGGCTGGAGATGTTCTATGTCTCCAAAATCGGAATCTCGTCCCTTCCAGATGACTTCGGTAAGCTCCCCTCTCTGGAGGACTTGCATCTGCACTTGTGCGAGCAACTCGCTCAGTTACCCACGGGTCTCAGGCAGATGGCGAAGCTGCAGGCATGCACTGTCACTGAGTGCCCGCTGCTGTCGGCGGGACAGAGGGTGGTGATCTGTGGTTCAGCGAACCTGGACGAGGGGGAGCATGTGGTGGGTGGTGTAGGGCAAGAGGATGTGGGGATAGTCGAGATAGAGGAAGATGGGGAGAGTGAAGGGGATGAGGGAGAAGGAAGTGAAGCGGAGGGGAGTGAAGGGCAGGGGAGTGGGGAAGACGGGGAGGATGTGGAGTGAAGTGGAGACGAGGAGGAGGAAAGCAAGTACGGGAAGGTGACAGGAGGATGGCAAGGAGATGGAAATGGTGACGTGTTTGGGGGATGGGAGGGCTGGTTAGAGAGAGAAGAGTATGATTTTATGCAGTCCTTAACATCATGTTTCATGTCAACTCAACTTGTACCCTCACTGTTATTGGCGGAAAGGCTTTACATCCGCATAACCTGTGTTGTCTTCCCGCTCTCCCTTCCTCCCAATCTCCTCCTCCTCGCTGTCTTCGACTCTGCCTTCTCCCGTGACGACGCATCAGCAGCCAACTTCACCGGCTTTGCTACTGACACGCCAAGCGGTGCTGAGCTGGCATCTCTTGGGCCACGCTCTCAGGCACCTTCGCTGAGCTGGCATCTGGCCCGGACTGCAGTGCAAAACCTTGGTAGGTTTTGCTAGTTTTCCACGTTCCAGGCAGCAGCTCAAAAGCTTCGTGCTGCTGGGGGATTTGAAAGTCAGATGTGCCTTTTAAAGGGGCAAGACAGAGGTTGGTTATAGTGAAGCTGGACAAGGGAGAGGGTGCAGTGGTTGGCTGGGGATGATTGAAAAATGTGGATGGGGGAGGAGGATGATCGGAGTTAAAGGGGAGGAAGGAGAGGAGCGAAAGTGAGGCATGTGAAGGGTATGGTAAAAGGGGGAGGCAAGGATGGGGAGGTGAGAGAGGGGGGTGGGGGGGAGCTGGAATCGGAAGATTGGGAGGTGGCTATCAGTGTCCATTCAACCAAGTGAATTTGTTAAAGTGGTAACCTTTGTTGGCAGAACACAGCTTTCGATCATGGTTAGGTTGCAAATATGTACGGTATATTGTTCATAACACACGGCGCATTGCATGTGCCTATCACAGAATGGCCCCAGTTTCAGTCCACACCAGGTTGAACATTGTTTATTTGATCCTTGCTTTGCGCACCTGACTTGGCTATGGCTACTGGTAGTGCACGTGCCATGCACAGCACTAAGAAACTTGATTCAGAGCCAGGCTTGCGCACCTTAGTCCGTAGATACGCTGGGCTCTGATGAGAGTGTAGGCTTCGAGTCAACACGTTAACTTGGTATGGGGAAGGTTCGGAAAATGAAACCAAGTGACTAGAAAGCACACTTAAGCGTGATCAAGTGCAAACGAAATGTTCGATGATGCGCATTTGTAATTACCGTATTACAATCAACTACCGTAGAACCTAAGTTGCACTTTCAACCTCCAACACAAAAACAAGCAGGTGTGATCGTTGTTCAAGTGAGCCGCAGACATGATGGCAGCTACCAGTAGCATCAGATGAGGGCATCGTGCAGACGCCAGGGCGGCTTGGGCAGCTTGATTGACAGGCATGCCATCGGAGGAGAACAGGTGTAGATGGGTGGGTCACTGCCTGCCAGTCTTTACTTGTGGCGACGAGCTCCATGCAACATCCCTATTTTCATATGGGAAGAGGGAAAATTAGGAATGAGGGATGAAGAGATGGGTTGTGATGGAAGAGTGAGTCAGGTGTGACGGAAATGGTGAGCGTGGCACAGGATGCCGCTAGAGCAGCAAGTGGTTGCAACAATGAGGATGAAACTTGGGCTCCCACCCACAGAGAGCCGAGGAGAACTCTTGCAAAGAGCCGAGGAGACTTGAATGCACCAAGTGCTAAATATACACATAGTTCCGGGACCAAACAGGAAGACCTTTCATGCATCGTCATGCAATGCATGTGTCTTCCATGGCACACAAGCAAAACAGAATAATTCCACAGCAACACTCACCACCACCATGACCAGGCCCCTCCCATGTCCTGACCAGCTGCACACGATCAATGCTCACCTCCACTGGGTCGGGCATTGGCGCGCGCCTCAGCAGCTGCAAACGGGCGTGTGGCAGCAGAGGCAGCTGCTGTTCCGATTCGACCCACCGTGTCCGTGCTGCGAGTGGTGGTGATACGGGTGGTGCGGGCAGCAGTGGTAGTGTTGGTGCGGGCAGCAGTGGTAGTGTTGGTGCGGGCAGCAGTGGTAGTGTTGGTGGTAGTGTTGGTGCGGGCAGCAGCGGTAGTGTTGGTGCGGGCAGCAGCGGTAGTGTTGGTGCGGGCAGCAGCGGTAGTGGTGGTGCGGGCAGCAGCGGTAGCGTTGGTGCGGGCAGCAGCGGTAATGTTGGTGCGGGCAGCAGCGGTAGTGGTGGTGCGGGCAGCAGCGGTAGGGTTGGTGCGGGCAGCAGCGGTAATGTTGGTGCGGGCAGCAGCGGTAGTGGTGGTGCGTGCAGCAGCGGTAGGGTTGGTGCGGGCAGCAGCGGTAATGTTGGTGCGGGCAGCAGCGGTAGTGTTGGTGCGGGCAGCAGCGGTAGTGTTGGTGCGGGCAGCAGCGGTAGTGTTGGTGCGGGCAGCAGCGGTAGTGGTGGTGCGGGCAGCAGCGGTAGTGTTGGTGCGGGCAGCAGCGGTAGTGTTGGTGCGGGCAGCAGCGGTAGTGTTGGTGCGGGCAGCAGCGGTAGTGTTGGTGCGGGCAGCAGTGGTAGTGTTGGTGCGGGCACTGGTGCTGTTATCGATGAGGCCGGCAGTGGCGCCTGTGGTGTGGGCAGAAGCAGTGCAGGTGTTTCGGGCGGCAGGGATGCTATTACTGCGGGCTGCAGTGGTGTTGCTGGTGTGGCCGCCAGAACTGCCATTGGCGTGGGGTACAGTGGTGTGGGGTACAGTGGTGTGGGGTACAGTGGCGTGGGGTACAGTGGCGTGGGGTACAGTGGCGTGGGGTACAGTGGCGTGGGGTACAGTGGCGTGGGGTACAGTGGCGTGGGGTACAGTGGCGTGGGGTACAGTGGCGTGGGGTACAGTGGCGTGGGGTACAGTGGCGTGGGGTACAGTGGCGTGGGGTACAGTGGCGCGCGCGTTAGTGGCGGTGGCACTGGCAGCAATGGTGCTGGTATTACGGACAGCAGTGCCTCTAGTGGCGCGAGTGGCAGTGGTGCCACTGTACCCCACGCCACTGCAGTGGGTCGCAGTGATTTGGGAGGAGAATGCAGCAGTGCTGCCGGTGGTGTGGGTTTGGGCTGTAGCACAGGGTTGGAACATGAGAACAGAATGATTGAAAGCATTAAAAGGAGTATGGGAACAAAAATGGGTACAAGCATGAGAGCGAGCATGTGAACGAATATGGAGGATAGGAGAACACAGTATGACCATGGGGCAAGGGATCAGCGTGTGTTTTGGCATGAGGACAAGCATGTGCCATGGCATGTGGAAAGACATGGGAGTAAAGCCCCAGATTATAATAGTTGAAAACAACAAATCCTGAATTTGATGGAATGTGGAGAGAAGTCAGCGAGAGGGTGAAAACGGAAGCACCATATTCAGGCCACTAAAAAGTATGAGTGTGGTGGGATGACAAGTGGCAACAGCAAAGCCCTCCTCTCAGGTACCTAGGCAAAAAACTGCAACGTGATTCCTTTTTTCTATGCATCTCTACTGGATTCCCCTCCATTTCCCCAACACCCCACCCCACTTTCCTGAAGACCTCCACACCCTATCCAAGCCCTTTTCATGTCATCTCCGTTGCCTTCCCTTCTCCCTGCCAACCCTCTCACTCCTCCCTGCCAACCCTCTCACTCCTCCCTGCCAACCCTCTCACTCCTCCCTGCCAACCCTCTCACTCCTCCCTGCCAACCCTCTCACTCCTCCCTGCCAACCCTCTCACTCCTCCCTGCCAACCCTCTCACTCCTCCCTGCCAACCCTCTCACTCCTCCCTGCCAACCCTCTCACTCCTCCCTGCCAACCCTCTCACTCCTCCCTGCCAACCCTCTCACTCCCCCCTGCCAACCCTCTCTCTCCTCTCTGCCCTTCGCCTATTTTTTGCCAAAGTCTGGAAGTTCCCCCCAGGCATTTTTACCCCATTTTCTCTGCCAAACACCAACCTTCGATTTGCCAACCTTCTCCCCGTTCCTCTCTGCCAACCTTCTCAACCCTCTCTGCCAACTTCTGACCCGCTCTCTGCCAACCATCTCACAACATCTCTGCCAAGTTTCCCCCCTTTCCCCCACTGCTTGGCCAACCTCCCCCGACTCTTTCCCAACCTTCCCTTCCCCCAGCCTCTCTGCTAACCTTCCCCCCTCTTGCTGCCAATCCTCCCCAGTCTCTTTTGCCTACCTTCCCCCCTCTTTTTGCCAACCTTCCCCTCTGCCATCCTTCCCCCCTCTCTGTGCCAACCTTCCCCCCTCTCTGTGCCAACCTTCCCCCATCTCTGTGCCAACCTTTCCCCCTCTCTCTGACAACCTTTCCCCTTCTCACTGCCATCCTCTCCCCCAAACCTTTTGCCAGCCCCCCCCCCTTTCTCTGCCAACCCTCTCTCCCATTCTCTGCCATTCTCTCCCTTTCTCTGCCAACTATAACCCCCCTCCCTGCCAACCTTCCTCTCCTCTCTCCCAACTCCCCTTCGTCCCCAACAGTCCGTCCATTCACCCGCTCTTTTTGCCAACATTCTCCCCCTCTCTGCCAACATTTCCCCCTTCTTTTCCAACTTTAACGCCTCTATTCTGCCACCCTCCGCCCCAGCCACTGGGATGGGACGAGGCGAGTACCTGAAGAGGCAGTTACACGCCGGGCAGTTGGGGCAGCAGCATGCCGGGCTCGAGAGGACGACGCAAGAGGAGCAGCAACGGCTGTGGAAACATTTGCAGAAGCTCTGGTGCGAATGGCTGAAGCGGCAGGAAGAGCAGCAAGAGGGTCGGAAGGAGGAGCAACAAGAGCAGAAGCAAGAACAAGAGGGGCTGCACGAGGGTCGGCAGGAGGCTCGGCAGCAAGAGGCTCGGCAAGAGGGTTGGCAAGGGGTTCGGCAAGAGGAGCAGCAGCGACAGCATGACTGCTTCCCGACCCCAAGGCTGGCGTTGCAGATGCAGGCTGAACCCCGGTAAAAAAACGGTGAAGCGGGAGAGAAGAGAGAAAGCATGCCAAGGAGAAATGAGAATCAAACAGGCTCGCACGTATTTCAGAAAGGCCAAATCAGTTCTGATCGAAATAGCAAGAGTGCTTTGCATAACTTGGAATTCCTTCAAGGGCAAGTGCGAGCTGAAACGAGCTTATCACTGAACCAATCCAAGTGAATGAATCTGTGTACATGGTATCTACCAGATATGGCGAGTCTCAAAGCAGCTCGCTGAAAGCCTTTGTGAGAATTCTGGCAACCAAATCACACTATAAAGCAGCGCTAGCCGGACAGCTAGTAGACGGACTCACACGGTTGGTATGGTAACTGGTGGCAGCTTCCTCGTCGTGATCCTCATTCTCCATGCTTTGCAGTCTCCTCTCCTCCATTTCCGCCTGAACGACCCTTCCCTCCTCTGCCACCTCTGGTCCTGTTGTAACTTCTCTCATATCAGCAATGCCGTCTTTCCTTTCAGCTGAGTAGAAGTGTCCCTGCACGAGGAGTTATGACCAGGTGCTATAAAAGGAATTCAAACCAAAAAAGGTGAAACTCTGGTTTTGTGCAAAGAAATCGTACCACCTTCTGAGATTATGCTACCAAGAGAGAGAAGCCATAATCCTGGTGCTAGTGGCAGGACGCACCTGGGTGCAGGTGTAACGAACGGCGAAGGGGGGTTGCATGGTGGTTCTGGTGTTGGATCCACTGTTCTCATTCGAGTTTCGAAACCAGGCTTCACTGGTGTCCCAGACCTGACAAACGATTTAGGGAGTGTTACCACTTGCTCAAAAGGAGAAGTGAAACTACGTAGACGGGGATGGTTCGGTTTCTTCTCTTCTTAACAGCAGTTTACTTTGATTTGCATATTGAGCCGAACAAAACATTGAACTAGACACTCACCTTAGAGGAGCAGAAACGACAGGACTCATCTTGTATGAAGGGGCGGCCCTGAAGTGAATTACTTAACCTGATCACAAAACATAAGGATTCATTATGGCGAAAATATAAAAGCATTGACGATTATTGAATGAAACTCATGTTGCGACCAGCATTGATGAATTCCACGCCGACCAAGCGCATCCTAATGCTTTACACAGTGCGTGGCTAATTAAAAACCAATAGAAGGGAGAGGAGGAGAGAGTTGAAGAAGTGCTCCAGTTCCAAGTCTCTGAATTGTTTCTACTTCATTCTAGAGCAAGTTGAAAATATAGCAGCAGACCACTTGAAAGCAAGAGCATTAACATGACAAGGACTTACATAAGAGCCTCAAAAAGGATGCCAACAAAAATCCCTTGTTTGACGCGCAAATTATCGTGGTCCAGTTCGTCTCGGTGACAGGAGCACCAAATGGTCAGGGACACGCTGTCAAAAGTGATGTGACCACGCAAGCGCGTGTGCGGCTTATCGCTGTCACGCTCCTGCTCGCCCTCTGCAACTCGCCACCCCCTTATCACGCCTGGGCACCAGTGGATAAGCTGTGCAAGGGCTCGAAAATCCACGTTATTCATCTGCTTCATCATGCACAGAAAATTTTCGCGCAAGTATGTTTCAAAGGCCTTGTCACCGCTTGCATTTACTAAACGGAGGAGTTGGTCCGCAAAGAGCCCAGACAGTGTCTCCCGGCAGTGCAGCTGCCATATGGACTCCTTGGCCATGAGGTTAAGAGTTTTCGAAACGCATGCCATGTGCGCTACGACGCGAGGCCCCGCTGGCTCGGCGCGGCGAAGAATGGCGAAGAGAAGATCGGCAGGAAGTGATTCCATTGCGGTGACAACAAGCGACACCGTGTCCGTAGCGACGGGGAGATGAAAGTGGCGACGAATGCAGAGGAAAAACTACACGGAAATAGCGAATCCAAGGCCTATCGCTGTGATGCTGCGTTCGTATGCAAGGGGTGTAGCAGAGTGAGCAGGATGCCGTGGAAGCGACGATAGGGTGACTGCAGTTTGACGGATCCTACAGCCAGCCTGGGGACCTCGGCGGTCGGGTTGGAATGCATTCTCGTGCCTAACCGCAATGATGTGGCTCGGGACTTCATCGACGCGACGATGGGTTCGCCACACTGCGAGAGTGCTGGCAGCTTCTAGGGCCATGGAGAGCTGCGAGGCGGAAAACTTAAGCTCGATCATGTTCCTGTCTTGGGAATTTTCAGTGGGGGCTAGCCGCACTGGGAACTGCGAGTGAGCGTGGAGCGAGAGAATTGCTCCAAACCCATGTTTAAAGATTTGGCGTTGCACACGTGGCCTCAATTTGCTCGCGTGGTCCTACAATTGCACGATAATTGCTCGAGTGGCCTTGCCAGAGGATTCCCGCAGTCTTTTTTTTACCGTACACATTACCCGAGAAGGGTTTTTAGCTCTGAAAAAACTAAAACCCGTCGCGAACAGCATGCCATTCGGGAGGCATCAACCCTAAAATTTTAGGGTTGATGCTTCCCGAATGGCATGCCTTCCGAGTGGGTTTTAGTTTTGTTTTGCCCGCGTTCAGAATCCAGCGGGAAGAGACACGATCGATGTAAGAATTTCGAGGCTAGAAACCCTTCCGGGGTAATGTGCCGGGTAAAAGAAATGCTGCAGGAAACCTCTGGCAAGACCACTCGAGCAATTATCATTGAATTGAATGACTACGCGAGCAATTCGAGGCCACGTGGGCAACGGCGAATCACCAAACACGGGTCTGGAGCAATTCTCTCGCGTGGAGCAGAGCAGATCCAGTCCCGAGAAAGCGCGGCAGAGGGGTTCCCTGCCCAAGGCATCCGCTCTACTGCCGAACTTCGTATACAACGAAAGCAATTACGTAATGTTACCTAAAGTGATATTCTTCAACCAATGATTGTAACATCTTATACGTGTATAGCTTATTGCAGTCTGTTTTGTAACTAATTATGACATAACTTTCTCCTATGCGAACCGCGGGGCTCGAAAACTACAGAATAAGATGTTGTAGGTGTAATTGAAATTCCAATATTAACCACATGGAATATTACTTAGAAACCCAAATGCTGATCATAGGATGGGTGGTTCAAAGGTGCTGCTGGGGTTCACCCAGTGCTTCTATCTTTTCCAGCTTTGCCACATACCCAATCCAACTGACCGCAGCTCATCCTAACAGTGGATCCTAAGAAGAGTGCGTGCACTAGGAGGGAGATGAGAGTCCTGGACGTGTAGGCCTAGTCAGAGTGCGAGGCGACCCAGTAGTAGAGCAGGTTGGCACCGAAGCCAGTGCTGCCGCCCTTCTTCTCACTCCACACCGGCCCTGCAATGTCCAGATGCGCCCATGGCAGCCCATGGCAATGAAAGCAGGGAATGGTGTTGGTGGCAGGGAATGGTGTTGGTGGCAGGGAATGGTGTTGGTGGCAGGGAATGTTGGCAGGGAACAGAAGTCGGGGATGAGAGGGAGAGAGAAAATATGACGTTTGTAACAATTCACAGAGATCTTGGTGTTTTTAGGCCTGCCAAAGGGAGAGAGGAAGAGGAGGGAAGCTACGCGTGCTTCAAGCATCGGAGGCACCGAGCGAAGACGGACCAAAACGGATGGTTGCACTACAGGAGGTATGTGTGTGGGTATATGTGCGTGTGTGTGAGTATGTGTGTGTGTGTGTGTGTGTGCGTGCGTGTGTGTGTGTGTGTGTGCGTGTGTGTGTGTGCGTGTGTATGTGTGTGTGTGTGTGTGTGCGTGTGTGCGTGTACGTGTGCGTGTGCGTGCGTGCGTGTGTGCGCGTGTGTGTGTGTGTGCGTGTGCGTGTGCGGGTGCTTGTGCGTGTGCGTGTGCATATGTGTGTGTGTGTGTGTGTATGTATGTGTGTGTGTGTGTGTGTATGTGTGTCACAACACGCTTGCAGCCACAAGCTTCAGTGTAAGCTGGAAGGAAAGCATTGCGGATGGGTGTGACAAGTGGAAAGCGCATGCGTTGGCCGCGCCAGGTGACATGACCAAGCTCAAAGGCCTGTTGGAAGGCACAGCGGAAGAAGGCGAGGTACTGAACAGTACGATACGCGTGAAGAACGGCATGGCTATTCCCGGGGACGAGGACTTCACCAAGTACTCCAGTCAGACACATTATGTGCGAGCCTGCGCGTCTTTCGGCGACAAACCATGGTTCAGCGACGTGGCAGTGCTTGGTGAAGAGGAGGTTGCGGCTGCAGGGGGTGAGATCACAAAGCGCAAGGTAATTTGGTAAGCGAGGCTGCTGCTGCTTTTCACCATCGACGTGTACACGCCACTTACAGAGGCGTTTACCAAGCGCGCGTATGGCTTTGTACGCTATTTCAGAGCCACTGGTGCGGTGCACGCATCAAAGTGTCCGGTGTATGCTTGGGAGGCAGGTGAGAACGAGTACCAACTGCTTGAGCTTGATAACATTCTGCACGTAGCTAATATGGTTAAGCTTAGTGAGGGTCGCTTTGTGATGAACAAGTTCAAATTTTATTAAAAACACAATTACTCATAATACATCCAGCCCCTTTTCCTTCCTTATTCAACTACTCAAACATTACATTCACTCGATATTTTCAATAACAGAGAAAAGACCTGTGGCACACCTGGATGGTTATATTTTGTCTTCGTGTAGGTGTTGCTGTCGTTTGCCAGCACGAACGTCCTTGTTACACGTCAGCCCTGCTTTGTTGCCGTTGTTGGACGATGAATGCAATAATGAGATCGTGGTTTGCTGGCATTCTGCCCAGCAACTAGGTTGCATTCGTGCCTCGCTGGCGTGGCCTACAGTAACCCGGCAGCTGTGCTGTCTGTTTTGTGCCATAGTCCAATTGTCTTGCTCGATGCCACTTGGGCATTGGTGTCGTGGTTTTCATGTTTGGTGTTGTTTGCACAGTGAAATATTTCTGGAGATACAAGAAAGACATTTGTGCTGGGTTCGAACGCTGAACTGTAAAAGTTTGTATCATCGGTTCTTGGGCCATTGTTTAGGCAAGTTTCTTTCAAAACCCTACACATGAAAACCTTTCGTACTGTTGGTCGTGCTAGCGCACCTACCGAACATAAACCTTTTGGCGAGATCAACATGGTTGCTACAGCGCTTGGAAGCAACACATCGGATGCTTCGCTGGCATGCTGCCGCCCCAAATAAGGACTTTCGTGCCTCGCTTGCAACGCATGCTGCTGCACATAACTGCTTCTCGCACCTTCTTTGCTTTCCGTGCTGCCCTAGTTGAACGGTCGTGTTGTCACGTTGTACAACGCGACTGTGGGCTCAATTCCCTGGCCAGATACAGTGCTCTACACAGATATATCATTTTCTTTTCTGGCTCCTTCCGAGGGACAGGTTTCTGTAAAAACCGATACTTGTTTGATGTTTGGACAAAACATGTCGCCTTATCAGTTTGGCGATGGTGAGAGATTTTATCTAAACACCACTCAAAACCTTGCTACTTTTGTCAGGTATTCTTGCTAAGCGCTTCAATGTTACTGTTTGTTCGCAGTGTAGGGAACCAAAA